TATATATATATATATATATATATATATATATATATATATATATATATATAATATAATAGAGTATTATCTATATATGTATTATAATATAATATAATTATTAATATAAAAAATTAAAAACCATATATATATATATATAATTATATAATTATATTATATACTTTAATGTAAAAGTGTGGATTGAAATAATATTATTATGATTCTTACATCTTACAAAATCGTATACATGAAATAAATACGAAAGAAATGCGGATTATGAATAAGTAGTCCACAAAAATATTGCAGTATCAATAATTAAATAAATAACAATGAGTTAATAAAATCGTGAGGTGAACTTTCGTCGTTCAAAATTAATACCTCGCTTATAAGAATATTCAGTGTTTTAGACTGTAGCGATTAACCTAAATCTTTGCCAAGAATTCTGAAACATCATAGAATCCAGGAAAGTAGTATGTACCAAGTTTTCGACGTCCGTGTTTCGCTTCAACTCGTTCGAAGAATCGTTAGCTAGATCCATTGCTTCAATTAAAGTTTGTATATACGGTAGCAGAACGTCTTCGTGCATCTCAAAGAAACGATCTAAATCTGCTGCATCATTATTCTCATTCATGATTTGGATCGATGATATCCCTGTATTATCGCCTCGCGATTGATCTGGCCGATTAGATCTCGCGATGTCTGAAACAGTGGAACAGAAATATTTTTCAAAAGCTCGCTACGATTTCATGACAACCATAAACTCAACAAGGACGTCAGAACTGCCGGTAGAAGCAGCAATTACCTACTCAATAGTTAATAACATATATTATATAACAGTTCTACCGTGCAAAGTGTTTCGTAGCTAAAAGTGGATTTCTACGAACGAACTGCTTGTTCTGAGAACAGATGAAGGATTCTTGTAAAAAAGGACGAGAAGAACATTTGGCAAGTTTTGTTGAAGAAGTCGATTGTTATAAATAGCTTAAACGTAATCCCTCTCACGTTCCTAATCCTGACCTAAACCAGACCCAAACCAGATCCAGACCTAATCCATGTGGACTTGTTTATGGAAAGAGTTAAAGTAAAGAAACGAGAATTTTTTTACATTTCTTTTACTGCATGAGAAAAATTCATTTTTGAAGACGAACGAACAATTTTATTATACACGTATAAGCATTATTGTAGTTCGAAAGTCATTCTTCATTGGTGATTTCTGCCCTTTTCATTTGAAAAAGAAAACGTGAAATTAAAATGGAAATACAACCTAAATTCCCAGGTGTTCCGGATAATAATATTCCAGGCATCAAAACTGTGTGTTGTGTTCCACCACCTTGTGATCAGAAGAAATTTCGCTGATGGGTTTTCCCAATATCTACATCATCGTTCGTTTCCAACAATGGTTAAATAACTCCAAAAACATAATTTCAGGAAGAGAGTTCGAAGCTCTAAATTGTTATAACTTTATAACAACGTCGCATTAAAATACAAAAATTGACAAGATGTCAAATCCTATTCTATTATAGTATATAATATATACTATAGTATTATATATAA